TATATTTTATGCTGAGAGTTGAGGCTTTCTTAATCAGTATTATGTGACAGCTTGCTCTTTCCATTTCAATTCTGGTTTCGTTACTTAATACATTGTAGTAACATTGTCAGATCAAAAAACATTAAACAACAGTAAGTTTAAATTTGTGGTCAAGTGACTTCATGCTGCAATGGGCTTCTTTTGTGGACTACTGTAAATACTAGCTTCTCTATAGGCAACACGTTATTTTCTAAGCCTAATATTGGTGGAGTAAAAAATAATTGAAAAGGCTAAGACAGGAAGCCCAACAATAGTAAGGTAATGGAAAGGAAAAGGGACAACCATAGAAAAGGTCAAGCAAGAAACCTGATAGTTAGTAAAAAGACCAGAATGGAAGAGTTACACCTGCGGAGGAGGCTTAAAGACAGGGAGCCCAACAGTAGTATCAAGAGATGCCTCACAGGAAGATTGGGCATACTGCTTAAAATTTCAGAATAGACGATTTGCGAATTTTGCTCTAATTGTCAAACACAAAAGAATCAAGACGAGAAGCAGTGCATAAAGCTGAACCAATCGTGACAAACTATTGTCTCTCCACGAATGACTGAGCTTTATGCACTGTGCCTCAGTGACTACCGAGACAAAATTTGCAAGTCGGGTATTGCATGAGTAAAGATTTTCTAAAAGAAAGTATTTCAAAATAAACTGTAGCACACAAATAATTGATCTCCTTTTCATAGGACTATGAAGTGGTTGATGAAGATGAAAACGGTGAATGGGAAAAAGAAATCGAAGATATGTTAGAAGCTGAAAGCTGAGATGAAAGAATAAAATGCAATGGTGATGTTTAATCCTTTAAATTAATACTATAATATTGTTTTTATTGGAAAAGATAGAGTGCAAACAGTAAAAACCATGAAATAGTTTATTGATAATATTATTAAATTATTGATAATTGTTAATAATAATTTTTATTAATAATAATGATTATAATAGTAATAATTATTAATAAATAGTTAATTATTAACTAGTTTG